GGGGTATGGCAAGGTACTAATGGCTTGATGATGGTCATGATGCAGTTATGGTCTTAGACTCAAGCTGAAGGAAGCAGGAATGAGTAAGGCAGCATCTATAAAGGCAGACGTAGTTCGTCATAAGATTAATAAGATTGAGAGGCTTGGAGTAAGAGTATTACTACTACCACCTTTATGGGTTATATAGGCATCTATCGATCCTATCATATTTGATACCTCACCAAAGTCATGAATATATAAGATGATAACCAATAAAGGCATGTAACTCTCCTTGGGGAGTGACATACCATGTTGCCTCATGTAGTGCTGGGTATTGTGTTGATGAGTAGGTTATGGTCATTATTGCGCACTTTTGGCAGCATGGATATTCTCATCCGTGTAGTTGAAATTGTGACCCCAAATTGATGTCCTCATCCATGAAATACATTTCCCTATCCAATCACCACTGCTGAATAGATATCATTACTCGGGAATGTGGTATCCTTACTCGCTAAATTGGTGGCATTGATCATGGATTAAATTCCTGAAAGGTATAGATACATCGTTGAGGCCAACGTCGACCTCATCCATAAAGGCATCTCTGATCCGCATCATACTAGAGGATGTATTCCCTATTATCATTACTATCATATTCCTCTTCTTCTGATAACACTACTAGGTCGGGTTGTATCATACTAGGTTCAACAGTTTTATCCTTTATTTCCCATAATAATGAGTACAGCTCATTATGGTAGAGCAGTGCCTGTGGGTCTACGACGATTTCCTAATCTTAGAGCCAAGATGGTGAAAGATTCCAGAAAGGTTAGGTTCCCTGCAGATCTACCACCAGGATTCCATATTGTACTACTCCTGTTCAAGAATAATCATCATTGGGATGCAAGTAATACTACTACAGCAACCTCCACGACCATCAGTAGTACTTCTACTACAAGGTACATGGTATAAGCTGTATGATAAAGTATCCCAACTTGTTGAACACGCTCATAGGTCTATATTAAAGGAATATCAACAAGCAACAACATATGCTAGTCTTGAAGACTTACCACCATTCACACCTCCTAAGATGTATTATCTATGGGTCTTTGGAAGGTACTAGGAGGTTGCGTTAGTCTTATTCTGTACTACTCCGTACAACTAGGTTTCGATGGCTATGGAGTTATCTATGGATTAGACGATGCCGTCGATGGGCTGCCTTATCATCAGGAGGAGGGGATCCTACTATACCAGAGGATGATAGGATATTAGTAGCGTATACTGATAAGGTATTAGGATTATTAATATCATCGATACACTATGATGATGTAGGAATGGTTTGAGAAGAGATTAGGAATCATCAATGATGGTCGACCATACGTCTTATTAATGAAGAGCAATGGCAAAGTAATAATGGGCAGGAAGTTGGATGATGAAGTTGCTACTATTATTCCAAGTGATATCATTAAGGTACTCTTCTGTCATCATGGTCATTATGATCCTAACTTGCATGATTATGGTATTAGAAAGGTGGTTCGAGAAGAAATGCAAAGAAGGGAAAATGCTATCATGAAGATAACTGAGAATGATAATAACATTCATAAAACTATGCTTGGCCCTACTAGCACCAACACCACCACCACCGAAGATCAGCATCATGATACCACT